GTCGAGGGCGGGAAAGCAGGGGAACTGAGGGAGGGCTAACACTGCTCAAAAAGAAATGTACTCATGACCTTACTCATGACCCTGCAGTACATTACCTTTACAAGAACCTTTGAAAAATAGGGAAGAATGGAAAGAGGGAAAACGATCATTCAGAGGTTCTGGAAACAGACTGAAGAATGGAAAGAGGGAAAAGGATCATTCAGAGGTTCTGGAAACAGACGGAAGGCCCCAGAAGCTTTCACCGCAGCCCTGAGCACGCATAAAACCACCAGAGAAAGGGGTTAGGGAACTTGGGCACCTACAAGATGAAGGGAGGAGCAAATATGAAAACCTGACCCCTAGATTAAGCTGGAGCTGACGGGAATGAGGATTCCTCTACAAAGCACCGGGCAGTGGTGCGTCAGGGTGTCTGCCTTTACTACACTGTTCTCAGCTTTCAGAACAAAACTGAGGAGCCATGCGTCATCGCAGCCATGTTCATGACATCGCTCCATGAGGACGAATCTAAGAAATCTACTTTCCATGGTAAGAAAACACGGTTTTCCTAGATTTTGTAAATGTGTCTTTAAATTGATGAGAAGTATTTTATATTGGTTTCATTGCATTTATTCATGATAGTTGTTCAAATTACTTTGTAAAAACCAGTCTCCTCAACCTTCCTAGAGGATTCGCACAATCTCTCCCTTCATCAACTACCATTTCTCCTAGTCTCTTTCTCCACCACCGCTGCCCTCTCACTTGGTGTATGCTAAAGAACCTGTGTCCTAAATCATAGCAGCTACTGAATGATCTGAGTCATTGGGTAAATTGAAAACACTTGTGTATATCCATGATTAAATACAGGGTCTTTTTTTAAACAAGCACATATTTAACTGACCACATACAATGTAGCAAGTACTCTGCAAAGTTGGGACATAGCAGAAACACACATTCCTTGCTCTCACAAAGCCTGTATTCTAGATGACAGGGCTGATAATCACGTGAACTCTTGTCAGGCAGTAAAGGTCATGGCAGCAAACCGAAGCAAGCAGGAAGAAAGAATCAATTAATATTTGAACAGAGACCAGGAAGACTGAGCCTTAGCATTATCAAAGTGGAAAAGATAAATTTAAGTACTCAAGGAAGCAAAATGTAGGCCTATTAGTAATGCAGTTATCATACTCACATATTAAAAGAGCCAATAGTGTCTGATACCCTTCCTTTTGTTATCCTAGGTTGTGTCTCTGACAGTTGTAATGCAGAACTAACATGCTTCTTTCCGACAGGGGCTAAACTGATTGCTGGTCGTGTACGTGAATGAAGGCTGTGAGCTCTGCTCATGATAGAGCAAAACTGACTATTGAATATTCAGACCATGTTTAGTTTAAAAATAAACACAAATAATCCTCCTCCCTTCAATGACCCTCTAATTCTTGGCCCTCTTTACTGAAAAACATCCTTTTAATTTTATCCTGAAAACAACATGGAGAATCACTTTCTTTCAAAACAAGTTTTCCCTTGAAGAGAAACACATGTTCAAAGTACAAATAACATTCCAGTGCCCAGCTTCAGGCTACTTAATTTCTGCAGGATGATATCATAATTCAGCTAGACCATGATCCTCTACATATTATTTGTTTTGCAATTCTATAACTTCAGCCCATTTACAGAAACAGATCCAGTTTTTATACAAAGAAGTGCAAAGAAACATATTTGAAATATAGTGACTTCTCAGGTTATAAATACTTTCTGAGAGTAATGAAGAGCCATATCCCAATGGAATTTTTTGAGTGAAATTTGACAAGCAGATTTCAAAAAGTAAAATTAAAATATCCATGACAATTTGGGAGAAAAAGACTTATGGGTAATCTAGGGCTATGAATTGTCTAAATAAAATAAAGCCATAATAAATACAATACTGGATGAGATAGAGATAAGTAAAAATTAGGGAGCCAACAAATATCCTCATTATACAATAACATTTAAAGTTAGTAAAGACAGTTGGTGCCCATGGCTCAGGTCTGAGAGCTACTCTGGAGACTGAGAACAAATCCAAGAAACTATTGCACCAAACCCTGTAGCTCTCCTGTGGTCATGCCTGAGCCAGCTTCCCCCGTACCGAGTCCTGAGGACCACTTTGAGTCAGTACGTCTGGGTAGAGACGGCCAGAGGATTTATTACAGTCAAGGAATATGCAGATTAAGGTCAGCACAGGGCAAGTGCACGGCCAAGACCCCGGGTGTGAGTTCTGGATGTGCTCTTGCAGTTCGGTTCTGCGCACACTCCCGGCAGCCAGGACACGTATACAAATGACTACGCGAATTTATGAAGCTTGCCCAACACTGGATTTCCATAGGGGTCCAGTATTCTAGGCTGAATCCCAACATGACTGACCTCAGCTACTCACTCACACTTCACGGTAAAGAGGAAAGAAAAGTGTAATATAAATCAAATTGCTAGCACTCTCTGAACAAATTGGCACCCTATGGCGGAAGAAACTGGCCAAGAATGATTCCTGAAGACGTGCCTTTCTCGGAATGATGTAATTCTCAGGCAAGAATGTGATCCAACTGGTGTGAAGTATTATTAACCAGGGATGCACACCTGAGCCTTGCATTTTATTTAATGTCTGCATGACTGATCTCTGCTGTCCAGTCTCCATTTTCCTAGACAGGTACTCATTATTTATCACATTGTCAGAGTTTAAACTATCAAGTCAAACGATCAAGGTCTTGCACAAACAAAAAACTCCTCATCAGGTGTTAACTATTACTTGAGTTTGTCTGCCAAAAGCTGAATAAAGTCTTCCCCTGGAGTAAATCAATCACTATCATTAGGGCACAGGCAAATGCTCACCATAGCTTGGAAAGGGAAAAACAGGGCAGGAAAGGCAGCTGTTGCCTTGATTCCTAGTCACGAGCAGGTGAGATCTTTTTCGGAGGCATCCACTAGAAAACAATGATCATTCTTGGTGAAGCCTTGGAAATTTAGTATATCTAATTAATTGCAAATGAGATTAACATTAAGATGGGGAAAGGGTAGAACAGGGCTTTGGGGTAATGTTCCGTGAAATGCTCTAGGACCTAAAAATACTGCAACTAAAAATAGGAGGGTGATGAAAAGAGCAAAACAGAATAAGCTCAGTAAACGGTTTCTAGGCAACAAAAGGTAAATGGATGTCATTAGCAATGAAACTTACTGTAAACTTAAGAGGCTAAAGACATTAAAAATTAAAAGCACAATAGCCAATAGTATTTCTAAATACCAATTGAAGAGTCAGCATGATGTTCTCAAGGTTTTTCCAGGTTTTGTGTCGACATTTCATATTTTGGCTTGATATTTGTGTGTAGACCACATTGTGTTTATTCACATGGACATTTGGGTTTGAGTTCTAATTTGAGCATGTTTCAATTGTTTGGGACAGCGGTGAGAATTCTAGATCACATGAGAATGGTTATATTGGTACATCCGATGGTATCCCATAGGTCTCTGAGAATCGGGTACTCTATTCTCCAAACTGGATAATCTCAATTGGCCAATTAAACTCACCAAGTATTTTGTTTACTTTTTTAATGTACTATTGAGACTTTCTATTTTTTTTTTTTTTTTTTAGAAATTACAACTTTCAACTCCAGATTCTTCTTGGCTATTTTTCGTAATTTCTCAGTACTCTCTATTTAGTGAGACCTTGTCCTGGCTTTTAGGTCTTTAAACATTTTCCCTTATGTCTTGGCACACATTTAAAATAATTCCTGTAATGACTTTCAGCCTACCACCTCTGCCCAGGGTTTAGAGATGCTCCTGGCTTCTTATGAAGTGCTTTTCCAACTTTGTCTTTGTGCTAGTCCTGTGGCTTGAACTCAGGACCTGGGCGCTGTCCCTGAGCTTCTTTTGTGCTCAAGGCTAGCACTCTACCACTTGAGCCACAACACCACTTCTGGCTTTTTCTGTGTAGGTGGTACTGAGGAATCAAATTCAGGGCTTCATGCATGCTAGGCAAGCATTCTATCACTAAGCCACATTCCCAATCCCTGAACTACTTTTGAGAAGTCTGTAGTCTCTGTTAGTGTTAGTCATTGGCTAGTCATTGGCTATTCAGTGACTGGTCATTCACTGGCTGGAGGATGAACACACTATGTACCACGGCTCTGTAGGTGGGCACACACCCACAGCACGTAGTCAAGACGACAACGCTCCCTCAGTCTTCACTCTCCCTTGCGAAGTATAGCAAAGTTAGCCAGTGTGCCCTGTCTCCTAACTTCCCTCCCCTCCCTTCCTTTTAAGTGATAGCACTGTATTGCACAAAACAACATTTCTTTACTTTTCTGCTCAGCCATTAGTGGAAATGCTCTCAACCTATTTACCGCTAGAATTTCTTATGAATTAAAACCTGTAATTCTTAAAAAAAATACTTCTGTGTCAGGCCTAGTCAGACTTGAAATCCAGCCTGGGGAGACTGACTCAATCCCAAGCCAGTCTCAACTACATAATGAGACACTAGAAGAGTATATATATATATATGGCCAAGTAAATAGACAATGTACATTTTAGTTTCTGATTTTTGGTTGTACTTCTATATTTAAACAAGTTAAAGAATATGTAATCATGAAACCTAAATTTGTTCCAGAATACTAAGTACAAGGAAAAAGTGCATGCTCACATGTAATTAAAGCATAAAACATGTTGTACTTATAAAGTTCAGTATCTGTATACCCTCAATAGAGGTTATTATTTTTATTTTGCTAACTAGGAATAACTGCTAACAAAAGTGATTTATATTTAGTAATGTACTGCTCATTTTTCCATTTTTAGAAAAAGTTATTTTGACATTTATCTTTAAGGTGAATAACAAAGCTAACACTCTCAACATATACTTCATAAACAACCAATGAGGACAGCTGATCGCTATCATCTTCAAATTCACAGCTAGGAGACACCACTGCAAAGGAATCTGTAGGTAAGTACTTGTGATTTTGTAAATATAACCTGAATTCACTTAAAAAAAAGACAAAAACCTTCTATAAAACCTTCCCAGACATTTATTCCAATTAACGTTTATATTATAATAGAATAGTAAGAAAAAACAGGAAGTAAGGTCTAGAGAGAAAGCCATCAATCATCAAATGTGATTTTCTTCCCCTGAAACACGGTGATGTTAGCCTGCTGCTCCTTCCGCCTCCTGCTGGCTTCCCAGGATGGGTGAAGCGGGAGCTGTGAATGAGCTCTGGTGGTCTCAGGTCCTCTCAGGGCATGTTTATTAAACCGACTCTTCACCTGAGCTTTGTTTTCTGAGAAATCTTGGAAGAGAAAGCAAAGATAATACAAACTAAACATATACAAACAAGAAAGAAATGGACTGCATCTTACTTGAATAAATTAAAAAAAATCTGCTTTAAAGATAGTAATACATAACTTAAAAAGTGATTCTGCCTTATATACCATGATATAAAGAGGAAGGAACTTAAGTCTTGCTGAAATGGATTTGCAATTGTGATTTCCATCCTTCCATGTGGCAGAGCATTGCTACTGCATGTGGAGATTCGTAGCTATGGACACATACCTGAGATTTTGCTCTTTGGAGCTTGTTCTTTGTAATCCCTAAAAGAAAAAAAATGCCATTGTTATTGTTATTATTATCTTTGTGCTGGTACTGGGGTTTTAACTCAGGACCTGAGTGCTGTCCCTAAGCTTTCTCATTCAAGGCTGGCTCTCTGTAACTTAAGCTACAGATTCACTTAGGCCTTTTTGGTGGCTAATTGATGAGAGAGAGAGACACACAAACTTTCCTGCCCCAGCTGGCTTCAAATCTTAACACTCAGATCTCAGCTTTCTGAGTGGATAGACTTATAAGCATGAGCAGCCAGAGCCTGGAAAAAAACATAAATATGACCTTAAAAGGTAAATAAATCCTCTGTTCTTAAGCAGATGATATAACAGGATAAACCTTACCACAGGCCTATCAGAGTCTCACATTCAACCAACATGTCATAAATGTGGATTTTAGCTATATCCAATGTTTGATTCCAATATTACTTCAGACATATAAAGGAGTTATGAATCTATTCTTACAAAGACTTCGGTTTGTAAGTTAAAAATAAACTGCCAAGTGAGTTGAAGGTGGCAGCCTAAGGATTACAGATGACAGAATACCAGTCAGGCAGGAGGCAAAGACTAGGAACACTACAGTTTGAGGCCAGCCTGAACAAAATGACAGCAAGACTCCCATCTCCCAAACAAGCTGGGCATAGCAGCTCATATCTAGCCCAGCAACTCACAGGCAAAAGGATCTTGATTAAAATCAGCTACTTGTCTACTAGCCAGGCCCTGAGTTTAAACCCCAGTATCTGTAAGCAACAACAACAAAACAAAAACCCAAACACAAACTATTTAATTTCCTTTTCTCTGTACTTGGGGCCTATCTAAAGGATTTCAAACATCTCACATTTAAGATTTCCACATTTTGTGGAAAGGAATGGTGACATATTTTAAATGAAGGAAAAACCCCTGTCTTTTCAGACAGGAGTCTAAGTTATTTTAATTAATTTCAGGCTCTGAAGATATAGCCAGGTGCTGGTTGCTCAGGCATATAATCCTAGCTACTCAGAAATTTGAGATATGAGGATTGAAGTTTGAAGCCAGCCAGGGCAGGAAAGTCCATGTAACTTAATCTTCAAAGCTGGATATAAGAGCCGTGGTTCAAGTGATAGAACACTAGCCTTGAGCAACAATCAGGGACAGTACCCAGTAGTCCCTGAGTGCAAGTCCTAGGGCCAGCACAAATTAAAAAAATAAAAATACTTTACCAGTTTAATACTCTTGTCTAAGTGTTTAGAACATTATTCTATTCTGTTAAGGAGTATCTCTGACCTATAGTAAAATAATTTACTAAAGAAAAATAGCAGCTACTAAAGAAATCTGTTAAACATGACTCACTCTAAAATATGCTATCTTCTAACAGATAAGAACTTTATGATTTATACAAGGACAGAGCAATGGGAAAACTCAATGTGAGGCCAGCAGCTTTACATAATGAATAAAAATGACACAGAACAAATGATTGATGTTTACAGCAGTGCTCCTGAGTCATCAAAACTCCCCACCACATCCTTTTCACCAAGTTCTGTTTAAGCAGAGACATGAAAAAGTTTCAAATTTTTCATCAAAAACGAGCAGTTTTGTGGGCTGGGAATGTGGCCTAGTGGTAGAGTGCTTGTCTAGCAAGCATGAAGTCTTGGGTTCAATTCCTCAGCACCACACACAGAAAAAGCCAGAAGTGGCACCGTGGCTTGAGTGGTAGAGTGCTAGCCTTGAGCAAAAGAAGCAGTGCCCAGGCCCTGAGTTCAAGCCCCAGGACTGGCAAAAAAACAAACAAACAAACAAAAAAAGGTAGTTTTGAAGGTCTGATAATTCAAGGTGAAAACAAGTCAGTGCTGTATGTTAGTTGGCTATTATAGCATCTCATTTCAGGTTGCAGCTGGGACATCTGGGGCACTGTCACACACTTCTGTATGCCTTTCCACTTCAAGTTAGAGAGGGACAAGTCTAGTTTGGGTTGTACAAACTACAATGACTTGTGGTTGACATTTCTTCCCTTATTGTTGGGAATATATTGGTATTTCCTCTTCTAAAAAGGGAATACAAAAGCATCCTTACCTTCTGGAGCTTTTAGATCCAGATAATGAGTGGAAAAACACAGATTCTAACTTCCTGGCTTCTGTTGCTGGCTTACTTTGGTTACCTCCTCTACCCCAAGGGGCTGCACGCTCATCCTCGGTGGGTTGCTCCATCTTTTGGGGAGGTCTTTGCTCCTTAGCTGCAGAGTGGGGGCCACTTTGCTTCTTTCTTGTCAGCCTGGCTTTCCCAATGAAGAAGTCATCACCACTGTCACTCTCCTCAGACATGGAGGACTGCTTGTAGAACCTTTCTTCTGTGCTATCATCAAAGTACTCCTTTTCCTCCTCCTCAGACTCACTGCTGCCACTGAGTGAGTGCTCAGATACTTCCTTCTTTGAACTCTCACTTGCTGATTTCAGTCTGGGCTCAGCAGGTGTCTTCTGGCATCCAGGGGGACAAAGAGACCCTTTTCCTGAAGGCTTTGATGGGGAAGCTGAAATGTCCACTGCTTTTGGTCCAGGTTGTACCTTGGCCACTTTTCCTTTTGAGTCACTGGTGGGTTTCTTTGCTGATACTTTGGCTTCCTTGTCCTTCTGCTCACCTGTAACGGTCCTCTCATGCTGCTGTTTATCATTTGAACACAAAGTGCTCTGAGAATAATTTTCTTCTGAAGTCGTCTCTGATGGCTGAACTTCAGTAGCATTCTGTCTTGCATCTTTAAAGGACTGGACAGCAGCTGTTGGAAAAATAGTGAAGGACTTGTTTCAGCATTAACACCAATGTAACAGTACTGTTTCAGTACCAAACTTCTTTAATGATTTGAAACATGTAAGAGAACAAGTGGACTTTATACTAAATATGTAAAATGGGTCTGAATTCACAAAGAAATAATTTGACTTCTTGAAAAATAGATTTATCAGATGTGCTCAAGACACAGTCTTGTTAAACTGCCAAAGAAAAAAGAAATTTGTCCTTTTTTACATGTCTGAGTTATGAAGAGCAGAAGTCACTAACACAAATAAATTTGCACTTTGGATTTCTATGGTAATAAGGTAGAATTATGGTGTTTTCAGACATAAAAATAAAACACTATCTGTGACAAAACTAGTCCTATATATTTTATTATATACAAATAAAAATGATGTGAGAAAAGAAGGTTAAAGCAATATGTCAATATTTAGAACTATAACCTGATCATGCTATATAAACACATTAAAATGTAAGAAAAAGTCTCAGATTTAGTTAGCTTTTTCATAAAGCATATTTTCTATAGTTTTTGTCCTCATGTATAAATACTGAAGGATCTATGTTTATAATAGCAAGCATCTTCAAGGGTTGAAAAATGCACTGAGCAGACTGACTTTTAATTCATTTAATCCATACCTTTCAGTACATCTATTTTTTTCTTAAGAAGTGGGTGCACTGCTAGTCTGGCAATTGCTCTTTCAGTTGCAGTAGAATCTGGCTGCAAAATTAAAAAAAAAACACAACACAATATAGGGGGCTAAAAATAACTCAGCTCCGTTTAGAAATGTTTAAAGGATCTAAAAAGGCTAAATCAATATGAAGGAATCTAACAATGTATAGAACTAAACTGTCTGATACAGACAAGTTGTGATTACTACAATATTTGAAGTCCCATCTAATTAAGGTGTAGGAATTCATTCATATTCTGAATGTCTCCTATCTTGGCTGTATTGTGTATTGTTTGAAACAACACCAAAGACTTGAGGATGATTGGATGAGAATAGTTTATGATGCAACATTTAATCCAATGAAAATTTAGATTAGTAGTAGATGTAGACTACTCTAAGTACATGATGTAGCTACAACTTCTAAATTTCTACTTCCAGCTCTCACATGAGCCCAGAATGGTATGCAGCCACATAACTGAAATACAGTTGACACATCTAGTCAGAACTCTTTTGAGTTTCCCCTCCAATATGCTTCTCCTACTGTTTTTCTTCTCTGTTCTTTTCTTTTCTGTTCTGACTTTCAGTTCTGATTACTCAGGCCTAACATTCTAAGGAGTCTTCTATTTCCCTTTCCCTCATATTTCTTTTTTTGGTCGGCCATGGGGCTTGAACTCTGGGCCTGGGCGCTGTCCCTCAGCTGTTCAGCTCAAGGCGAGCGCTCTACCACTTGAGCTACAGTGCCACTTCCGGTTTTCTGATGGTTTATTGGAGATAGGAGTCTCATGGTCTCTCCTGCCTGGGCTGGCTTTGAACCACGATCCTCAGATCTCAGCCTCCTGAGTAGCTAGGATTACAGGTGTGAGCCACCAGCGCCTGGCTTCCCTCATATTTCACAATACATTCCCCAGGATATCACATGGCTCTACATGTAAGACATATAGAATCAGTCATTTCTACTCTTTCTACCTTTGATTAAATCACCAACTCCTTTACCTGGACCAACACTGTAAACTCATACATGATCACTCTCCTTCACATTTTACTCTATTTTATAGTCACTTTTCCCTAGAGCAGGGCAGTGATGTCAAATCATTTTATTTTCAATTCTCTAAGCCTCCTTGCTTTCAGATGTTTAGGTTATTCTGGTGCAAGCTCTTTTTAATCTGGAATGTTTTTCTCTCAAATACACAAATGACTGATCATCTCACAGTCCTCCGGCCTCAAATGTCATCACAAACAACACAAAGCTACCACTGTTGATTTTATCTACTTCACATAATTTAATGTATGTCAGTGCAAATATCTTCATACTTTTGCTGTAGTCAGTTACAAGTAGTTTTAGAACTGTGGTAATACCTGAATGCCTACTGTTAACTTTGGATAAACACTATACTTTGTAATCATTTTATCACTGAATGTATTCAGCAAATAACTTCTCTATCCCAGAGCTATCTTTGATTTGGCAATCTCATTTCTATAGGTGCTATTTTTTAAAAAGGCTCTACAATAAGCTCTACAATTCTACAACTACACATTCACTGAAAGTTATGATTTTATTATAAATATTATTATGAATTTATTAATCTTACTTATTATATGTGTCTCTCTGTACAAAGTTGCAATCTCTGCTGGACATCATGTATTTACTGCAGAATCCCACAGCACGCATCATGTTGCTGTCAAATTGGAACTGTGCATCCAGTTCAAAGAGAGCGTAGAAGTTTTTTCATACACAAAATCATACATAAAATTGAGCAATTATGTGAAATTATGCTAGTAACTATGCAATTTGTGATTTTTTAAAAGAAAAACAACAGTTAATACACAGAAAAATAAAGCACACCATTCTATGAATAAGTACTTTGTTGAAAAGATAGCTACTTTTAAGGAGAATATGAAATTTTTAAAAAGATTCTTAGCTAACTGCTAATACAGGATAAAAATGTGGTTTTTTCAGGAAAAGGAAGAGGTTGGACATGACTTCCTATAATCATTCTTCATCAGGGAATACATTTTGTGCCTCTGAATAACTGTAAATATGAAGTCCAATTTCAATCATGGGCACTAGTCACTAGTCATGTCTCTAATGGTGGCTAAAACAATGTAATTCTGTTTAAGAAAAATGGATTAAAGATACATGGCTTCCATATTCTCATTCATTTTGATGATATCCTTTTTTTTTAAATCATCTTTTCAGTGAATCAAACCCAGGGATTTGCCCATTAGCACTCTACAACTGTGCCATATTTCCAGCAGTGCAAATCTATTTAACAAATACGTTGTTGGAAGAGGAGTTATTTCAAATGATAGAGTGTCAACCTTGAGCAAAAGAGTGAAGGAAGAAATGTGAGTTCTGGAGTTCAAGCCCCACTACTGACACACACACACACACACACACACAATCTTGCAGGTTCATGTGAATATAAAATGGTGTGTATACATATGTATAAACATACATATATGTATATATACATATATATACACACACCCATTACAGTGCAAAGGCAATATAGCAGTACACACACACACACACACACACACACACACACACACACAAAGAAAATGATTTTACAGCTTCCAACTTCTACAAACTGGAAATCTGATCATGTCAGCCCAGACTAGCTTCAAACTTGTGATCTTCAGGGCTGGATATGGCAAAGAGCTTGCCCAGCAAGTGCCATGTCCTGAGTTTGATCCCCAGTCCCAAACCAGTCAAAACCAAGTAAACTGTGATCTTCAGATCTCAGTCGCCTAGGTCACTAAGACTGTAAGTTGTGAGCCACAGCACCTAGCTTTAATTTTATTCTTAAGAAAGCGAACTTAACATTTTAAGTTCTAAGTCTATTCTTAGGAAAGCATTTTTAAACCTTTCTTTAATTTTGCTCTAATTTTGTGATTAGGTCAAATTTTTTTGCTATCCAACTGATTAGATATCTAGACTGTCTTTAAGATTATTTACTTAGGAAAAAGCTATAACCCCAAATCAAATTTCTGAATTTAGTGTAATATTCCTAACAGGTCTGCTTGTTATAGAATAACTTTTCTAACACTGAGTCTTACCTCTAAATGTTTTTTTTTCACTAAAATTTGTAAAGCCCACTTCAAAGCTATATAAATGTAAAAAGAGGCCATGAAGCAAGTGGGCCGAGACTCCTTCTTTTGATGGTGGTTAGGGTTCTGTGGCTCCAAGACGTCCGTATGTCCGCTATGCTCTGTCTTGCTCACTAGCATTGGGCTAAGTGCAGGAACTTGTGGGTTAAATTTAGGAACCCACAAGAAAGGGTGAGGCGGTCTCTGCCATGAGCCTTTAACCCCTGGGCACACCCTTCCTTTACTATGTCTTCCCTCTTTCTATATACTGAGCCTTATTATCTTTTAATACCCAAGGACGTAAACACCATCTTTGGAGGCTCCCAAGGTAGCGTTTCATGAAAAAGACTAAGATAAATGTACAAATTACTAAGCTCATTGACCTCAAATGGTAAGCTTCATTTGATAGATTGAAAATGTTATAGATAGATATAAAAGCAACAAATATGTTGATATATCTGAAATTTAAATAAATCTATTTTAAAGCTTAAAAGTCTACTAAGTAGTCTCTATGAACAGCTTTTACACCTGCATGAAAAATATTAGGAGGTATGAAGGAAACCACAGCTTTCCTTATTTAAAACTGACACAATGTTTGCCATGGAAAATTCTCAGGAAACTGTGGTTTTCACACACCTTTAGTTTCTTCCATTTCAAACAAATTAAATAAAAAAGTAGAAAACATCTCATTTTTTAACGGGAAAATTTTGTTTTGGCATACTGGTATTTATTGTGAACACAAAGCATTTGGTGTTCAATTTTGAAAAGAATTTTGCAAATGTACCTCTGAATGTAAACAGACTAAAAATAATAAAGGTCTCCTGTGTGTAATATTAATTCTTTGGAATGTTGCCTAAAATGAACTGCCTCTAAATGAACTGGTACAGGAAGAATGCTAGGAGCAATACTTGTTATAGTTAGTTTGGTTTATTAATTCTAAGCTTTATCTGAGGATGTAAATCAACAAATTAACATTTGTGTTTATCAAATCCATTAAGCAAGAAAGACAATGGGAAACAGCTCCTTTGGCTGGATAGGAAGAATTATGGCAAACTACACATCGACATTTTTGGAGGTAATAAAACAGATAATATTTTCCATACTGTCTTATGTTCTGTTTGCTCAATTCTCATGTAAGATGAAATTTTAAAGACTACTGAAGACAAAGCCAGTATAAATGCCATTTTGTGTTAAAATCAAAGAAGGCTTCTCACAAATTTAATCTGATACATACATTACTTTGGGCAATGTAGATAAGCACCAATGCTAAAACCACCCATTTACATACATGTTAATAGAAATATTAGTCATTCCAGCTATTCTCAATCAACTGGACAAAGTAATAGCTCTGTGGTAAGGACATTTTTAGCAACTGTGTTTCTTCTCTGATTGAAAAGACAGAAGACTCCATCAATACAGTTTTCCCTAAGCCATCAGGACAGCTTTTAGGGGACGAAGTCATTTACTTTCCTCTTTGGGCCCTATAATCAGCCATGGATCAATCTCTTAAGATAACTGGGCCTACAACATAGAATATACATGTCCACAGTCAGCATACAGTCTTTGTTTATGAAGCATAATGGAAAACAGTACTTAATGCCATGTAATTGCGATGAATTCTAAGCAAGTGAGGCCAGGATGAACCTTCCTTCCTCTAATCAAGAAAATCAATTTTTTTGTTATATATGTTTTTTATTGTAAAAATACTGTACAGAGGGGTTACAATTACATGAGTAAGGTAATGAGTATTTCCTATTGAGCATTGATACCTCCTCCTTGTTTTTTCCCTACCATCCCTTCCCTCCCCTGCCACCCCGAAGTTGTAGAGCTTGTTTTCAACATAGGGTCTTGTACATCTCATTCTTACAATGGGTCAACCTGTATCCTTATTTCAGTAAGAAAAATCAATTTTTAAAAACGTCTACTCTTTTAATAATGTAAAGCCACAGGGAGATGATAATATGACAGAGGTAAATGAATAGGGGGGAAGGAAGAGCTGGAAATAAGAGAAAACAAGTTTCAGTAGTCACATGATTTAATTAAATTAATCTTCTGTCATACTTATCACTATTTTATAGGTATTTGCGTGTTAGAGTCTGGTTTGGTGGTGGTCTAAGTGGCTAGGAGGAATGGAAGGAGGCTCAGGCTGAAGGCCAGGAAAGAGGGCGAGACAGTATGTTCCACACTGGCACTTAAGTCTTTACAAGGGCTATACCTTTTTGCAGATCTTTTCAAAGTTGATGTCATCACCAAGAGCAGATTTAGTCACTTCATCTGGTTTTAGTTCCTGTGAAAGACAAAAAAGTATAGAAGTTCAAGTTAAACAGCCACTATTATGAATTAAATTCCTTCTGTATCTTGCTTTAAAAAACACAGTATTTTCAATCTAATTTGCTCCGCTTGCATGTTTGGCCGGTCTAGCTCCTCCACCGGAGTTGTTACACCTGTAGCCTGGCTTTGGCTGGTTCTTTGGAGATGAAATTTAACAGACTTTCCTGCCTGTGCTGTCTCTGAACTACAATCCTCAAAGTCTCAGCTTCCTAAGGAGCTAAGATTATAGGAACGAGCCACCAGTACCCTGCCTACAATCTAAATTTTATTATTGTTACTGTAATGATGTACAATCTAAATTTTAAACAAAGAACAAAGATTCAGTAATCCTACTATGTTAGATGCATCCAAAAGAAATGAAGTCATTACACTGCAGAGATACTGGCATGGGCATGTGAACTGCAGGACTCCACCTCGCTGTCCCTCACGCAGCCATGCACAAGGAAAATAGGGTATGTACAAAGGGCGTTTATGCAACAACAAAAATTAAGATCGTGACATTTATGGCAACATAAAATAACTGGAAGACAGGTCCAAATGTGTTAGCTAGTCATGGCAATATAAATAGTTACGCTCTCACCAGCGTGAAAAGTTATGATAGCTGCTCTCTTAAACTGAGAAAAATAGTGGTTCCTAGAGGCTTATAAAAGGTTGCAGAGGCAAGGGGGTAGAGTGAGGCTGGACACATAAATATCAAATATAGGTAGGAGTTAGTTCTAATGTCCTATATAGCACACTAGAGAAATTACAGCTTATAGTAATTTATTGCATATTTCAAAATAACTATACAAATTTAAAGATTCCCAGCACAGAAATGAGATATACTTAAGGAAATGTTAATTACCCAGTTTGATCCTTTCTCATTGTACACATCTGTCAGATTTTTGTAATTTAACACAATCTCTTGCCAGAAGGTTGGTGGCTTCTGCGTGTAATACTAGCTACTCAAGAGGCTGAGATCTGAGGGTCGCAGTGTGAAATCAAGCTAAGTGATCTCAAGCCCTAGAACCAGTACCTACACACAAAAATAAAATAGTCTCTTAAAAAAAAGTCCAGGCTCCAGATACACGGCAAATATTACATTAAAATGAGGAAGGGAAAACCATTATGTAGCAGGGTTGGTATTTCACACATGACCTATGTTAATAACAACCTCTACTCTTAGCGCATAAGCAGCCTTGGGCTGGACTGAATACCTTCCCAAAGATGTCCACCTCTCCAGTTCCACACTGTGAGTGTGTTATTTGGTAGATGTAAATAAGGGTCTTGAAATGAGACATGGATCCTGGATAATGCAGGTGGCCCAAGTCCCCAGGTTCCTTGTCAGAGGACAGTGGAAGGAAGCAGAGTGGAGAAGGAAGGACAAAGCAGAAGCCAGAAAGGTGGAGAGAAGACAAAGGTAAGCACTGGCCTGGAAGAAAGAAGGCTGAGAGTGGAGGTGGGGCCTGGGCGGATGCTGGGCGGCATTCTGCCTGGAGCCCATGGGTGTTCAGTCTTGAGCAGCTCCAAAACATCAACTCTACACATCTGTGTGGTTTTAAGCCACTAAAAATTAAAAACAACAGAATATATTTTCTATCTCCTTCCTATCTTCACATTATAAAGTAGTCATAGCATATTTGTATATACCATAGATAATGCCAACAATTAAATATTCACTTTCAAACTTAATAAAATATATATGCCCTGACTGACTTAATGGTCCTTGTCATAGAACACATACTTGAGTACTTTGGGCCAAGTACTTTGCTTTAAATACACCTCTGTGTGTATTTAAAGGGATGCCATCTATTGAGATGCTTCATAGATAATGTAAAAGAGGCAAGCTTAGCAAACAAGTATGGATGGGAATCCTGTTTTATACACGAAATTTTTGTCAGTGCTATTTTAAGTAGACCTTGAGGAATAAACACTACAAATATAATGCAAATATTATGAAATCATTCTTCCTCCCTTTGCTTTAGACTGAAAAGTAATAAAAGAGACTGCCTCTCAGAACAAGGCATGGTTTGTGTGTTCTTACAAATGGACAAATACTATAGTAAATGTTAGTTTTCTTCTCAAAAAGTAAGAGGAAATTTTACCCATAGCCTTTCTGAATCCTCCGAAGTCTGCTCTGGAGTCTACTTGAAAAGTTCATGCTACTTTGCTGGGACTTGCAAATTGTTTCCTTAAACCTAGATTTATCTATCTTTTGACTGAGAATATTTAATACATATTTGAAGGAAAACATCTTAAAACAACTCTTCGTATTCTGGAATTGTATTCAAATTTCAATGCAGGGCTATAACTTGCTAGGAATTTAATTAATTTACTCCCATTTTAAGAATACATAAATGACTCCCCAAACTGATTATGAAAGCCAGTCATTACAGCAAAATTCACTAGTCTATCAGATTAGTAATTCAAAGTGGAGGATATTATGAGAACTGAATTTTAAAAATCTGAAGTCATTTTCCATTTTAAAAGAATGCCTGGCCCGGGACTTGAGGCTTACCCAATAACAAACCAACCCCTTCATTAGAAATAAGTGAATACGAGTGCTGGGGAATGGTGAAGGATGTCATGCTTTGAGGATGAAACTCACAAAGTCCCAGTTCAGTTAAAATAAAGAGAGAACTCACTCAGATTAATGGCACTTAGAGGCTTGTAGTATTACTAATTTGTTTCTCTTATTTAAGCTTTCAAGTATTAGGACTCCCCAATCTATTTTAATGATAAAAGAAACAATAATATTCTTTAAAGTGTACATACTTGAGTTTACTAATCCACTGACAAACAATAGAGCCGAGAATGATTTCAGCTGCCACTTCAGCTGCAGTTTCACCCACTGTGGAGAAGCCTGGGTTGCTCCCTCTGCACAAGCCTGAGAAGATCTCTCTATAGGACAGGCTCTTGGCCAAGTCTTGGGCCAAGACCTATGTATGAGTCCTGTGGCTGACTCTAGTCTGTATACTTGCAGAACAATAAGCTCTAATTGTATCTACAACAGCTTTTGTTGAGTCCTGAGGATACTACTAGTCACTCACTGAATAGTCTTGGGGACTGTTGACCCATTCATTTTATAAAAGAAAATCATTACTACATGAGACATCTAAGGCACCGCAGCAGAGGTAGGACTAGAATATTCACATTTTGTTTACTGCCATATCCAGTTGTCAATGATGAGTTTTCCCCCCTCCCTCCTTCCTTCCTTCCCTCTCTTCCACAGGGTTTCACTACGTGGGTCTAGGTTGCCCTCAAATTCCTAACCCTCTTGCATTAGCTTTCAGAGTGCTGGACATGTAATGCCATGCACAGCTTAGAAATTACTCCAGTTCCTTCCTAAACTGATATTATTCAGGTTCTCTACATTGACAACTGTTACTCACTAGCAAGATCCAACCGAAGAATTTTAGTTCCCCGTTGTGGAAAGAAGGGACCGTGAAGAAGATATTTATACGTGTTCTACAGTATAACTTGTCTCACTGTACTGCTCAGGTCTCAGTACTGGGTACACCACAAAGCAGAACACTGCCCTGTCCACAGACATTTAACAGCTCTCTCTCATTCAACTGTCTCTCTTAATCCTCTAAGTTAGAAACACAGTTAATCTCCACTCTCATCCATGTTGAAGTATGCACCTTTCCTCTCAGGTAGTAGCTAGGATTTTTAAATACACTACACGGAAGCTCTCTGTTCTTGTCTCTCTGTCTCATTGGAGTACGGCTCCAAGTAAGGCAAGAACCATATTAACTTAAATTTCTATATAAAGGAGCACAGAATGTATGACACACAAATTATAGACTGAAACTATTCTTGCTGAGCTCAAACAAATTGTTCCAGTCAAAAGAACGGCTCTGAGGTGACATACAAGTGTGTGAAGTTTACTAGCTAAGGAAAAGGTTAAGTACTACCAAGTAAAACTTTTACTTTTTAATTCTTAGAAATAATAACTACTTCATCTTATGGTCTTAAAGGCGCAATGTACCTAGGCAGCGTTGATGGCCTGCGTGACAGGCAACCTCTGATCTGGACTGCCCTGTCACAGTGGCTCTGGCCTAACTTCTGAATGACATTTCAGGACTGCAAGTAATGGCCATCTTGATATACCACTTAAGTGAAGTAGGAGATTGCAGAAATTAAAATTCTCAAAAAAATTTATTCTGTGCTAAGAACATCAATTTTATTAAATTTAATACTACAGTATATGAGTCTACAGGAGTATTTCCAGTTTAAAAAAAAGAAACAGACTGAATTAATAATGGTATAAAACATGACCAGTGCAACCTGTTAATAACTTCAGGAATTTTAGTCTCTGCTACTGTAATAATAGCTTTCTACATCTTAAGTCATCTGCTCATCTAAATTCAATAAGCTGACATTTGAAATTAAATATTTTAAACATGAAATGAATGAAAACTGAGCTAACAGCTTGATGGAGGTAAGAAAAAGAAATGTAACTGGGCACCGATGGCTCATGCCTGTAATCAGGAAGCTAAGCTCTTAAATTCTAGGTTCAAAACCAGCCCAGGGAGGAAAAGTCCTTGACACACCAAAATCTGAAGGGGGGAGCTCTGGCTCAATTGGGAGAGTGCCAGCTTTGATTTAAAAAGCTGAGGGATAGCACCCAGGCCCTGAGTTCAATCCTAAGTACTCACACACAAGAATGTACATGCGTGTGTGCATGCATATACACATATCTAAAAAATTCACAAAGCAAGCCAGGTGTCACTGGCTCATACCTATAATCCTAGCTACTCAGGAGGCTGAGATCTGAGGACTGCAGTTCAAAACCAACAATGGCAGGAACGTCCATGAGACCCTTATCTCCAATAAACTATTGAGAAAAAGACAGAAGTGATGCTGTGGCTCAAGTGGTAGAGCACTATACTTGGGCACAAACAAGCTCAAGGACAGCACTAGGACTGGCCAAAAAAATAAATAAAAAAATCATAAAACAACTTTGGAGATTTA